CATTTTCGATAAGGGGTACCATCATCAAAATTTTCGAAAAATGGCCCAAATTTGACATTTCAAACTGTGAATGCAGGGTTGATAAGCATAAGAAAACACGCTCTGCGAGGTATTACATTCCTTATTTGGGCCATTATTGGCCAAGTTATGAGCAAAACTCTGTAGGGTTTGGGGAAGCCAAAATTCGCATTTTCGATAAGGGGTACCATCATCAAAATTTTCGAAAAATGGCCCAAATTTGGCATTTCAAACTGTGAATGCAGTTTTGATAAGCATAAGAAAACACGCTCTACGAGGTATTACATTCCTTATTTGGGCCATTATTGGCCAAGTTATGAGCAAAACTCTGTAGGGTTTGGGGAAGCCAAAATTCGCATTTTCGATCAAAACCCTCATCATACCCTCATCAAAATTTTCGAAAAATGACCCAAATTTGGCATTTCAAACTGTGAATGCAGTTTTCATAAGCATAAGAAAACACGCTCTACGAGGTATTACATTCCTTATTTGGGCCATTATTGGCCAAGTTATGAGCAAAACTCTGTAGGGTTTGGGGAAGCCAAAATTCCCATTTTCGATAAGGGGTACCATCATCAAAATTTTCGAAAAATGGCCCAAATTTGGCATTTCAAACTGTGAATGCAGTTTTCATAAGCATAAGAAAACACGCTCTACTAGGTATTACATTCCTTATTTGGGCCATTATTGGCCAAGTTATGAGCAAAACACTGTACAGTTTGAAAGTACCAAAAATCGCATTTTCGATAAGGGGTACCATCATCAAAATTTTCGAAAAATGGCCCAAATTTGGCATTTCAAACTGTGAATGCAGTTTTGATAAGCATAACAAAACACGCTCTACGAGGTATTACATTCCTTATTTGGGCCATTATTGGCCAAGTTATGAGCAAAACTCTGTAGGGTTTGGGAAGCCAAAATTCGCATTTTCGATAAGGGGTACCATCATCAAAATTTTTCGAAAAATGGCCCAAATTTGGCATTTCAAACTGTGAATGCAGTTTTGATAAGCATAACAAAACACGCTCTACGAGGTATTACATTCCTTATTTGGGCCATTATTGGCCAAGTTATGAGCAAAACACTGTACAGTTTGAAAGTACCAAAAATCGCATTTTCGATAAGGGGTACCATCATCAAAATTTTCGAAAAATGGCCCAAATTTGGCATTTCAAACTGTGAATGCAGTTTTGATAAGCATAACAAAACACGCTCTACGAGGTATTACATTCCTTATTTGGGCCATTATTGGCCAAGTTATGAGCAAAACTCTGTAGGGTTTGGGGAAGCCAAAATTCGCATTTTCGATAAGGGGGTACCATCATCAAAATTTTCGAAAAATGGCCCAAATTTGGCATTTCAAACTGTGAATGCAGTTTTGATAAGCATAACAAAACACGCTCTACGAGGTATTACATTCCTTATTTGGGCCATTATTGGCCAAGTTATGAGCAAAACTCTGTAGGGTTTGGGGAAGCCAAAATTCGCATTTTCGATAAGGGGTACCATCATCAAAATTTTCGAAAAATGGCCCAAATTTGGCATTTCAAACTGTGAATGCAGTTTTGATAAGCATAACAAAACACGCTCTACGAGGTATTACATTCCTTATTTGGGCCATTATTGGCCAAGTTATGAGCAAAACTCTGTAGGGTTTGGGGAAGCCAAAATTCGCATTTTCGATAAGGGGTACCATCATCAAAATTTTCGAAAAATGGCCCAAATTTGGCATTTCAAACTGTGAATGCAGTTTTCATAAGCATAAGAAAACACGCTCTACGAGGTATTACATTCCTTATTTGGGCCATTATTGGCCAAGTTATGAGCAAAACTCTGTAGGGTTTGGGGAAGCCAAAATTCGCATTTTCGATGAGGGGTACCATCATCAAAATTTTCGAAAAATGGCCCAAATTTGGCATTTCAAACTGTGAATGCAGTTTTGATAAGAATAAGAAAACACGCTCTACGAGGTATTACATTCCTTATTTGGGTCATTATTGGCCAAGTTATGAGCAAAACTCTGTAGGGTTTGGGGAAGCCAAAATTCGCATTTTCGATAAGGGGTACCATCATCAAAATTTTCGAAAAATGACCCAAATTTGGCATTTCAAACTGTGAATGCAGTTTTGATAAGCATAAGAAACCACGCTCTACGAGGTATTACATTCCTTATTTGGGCCATTATTGGCCAAGTTATGAGCAAAACTCTGTAGGGTTTGGGGAAGCCAAAATTCGCATTTTCGATAAGGGGTACCATCATCAAAATTTTCGAAAAATGGCCCAAATTTGGCATTTCAAACTGTGAATGCAGTTTTGATAAGCATAAGAAAACACGCTCTACGAGGTATTACATTCCTTATTTGGGCCATTATTGGCCAAGTTATGAGCAAAACTCTGTAGGGTTTGGGGAAGCCAAAATTCCCATTTTCGATAAGGGGTACCATCATCAAAATTTTCGAAAAATGGCCCAAATTTGGCATTTCAAACTGTGAATGCAGTTTTGATAAGCATAAGAAAACACGCTCTACGAGGTATTACATTCCTTATTTGGGCCATTATTGGCCAAGTTATGAGCAAAACTCTGTAGGGTTTGGGGAAGCCGAAATTCGCATTTTCGATAAGGGGTACCATCATCAAAATTTTCGAAAAATGGCCCAAATTTGACATTTCAAACTGTGAATGCAGTTTTGATAAGCATAAGAAAACACGCTCTACGAGGTATAAAATTCTATATTTGGACCATTATTGGCCAAGTTATGAGCAAAACTCTGTAGGGTTTGGGGAAGCCGAAATTCGCATTTTCGATAAGGGGTACCATCATCAAAATTTTCGAAAAATGGCCCAAATTTGGCACTTCAAACTGTGAATGCAGTTTTGATAAGCATAAGAAAACACGCTCTACGAGGTATTACATTCCTTATTTGGGCCATTATTGGCCAAGTTATGAGCAAAACTACGTAAGGTTTGGGGAAGCCAAAATTCCCATTTTCGATAAGGGGTACCATCATCAAAATTTTCGAAAAATGGACCAAATTTGGCATTTCAAACTGTGAATGCAGTTTTGATAAGAATAAGAAAACATGCTCTACGAGGTATTACATTCCTTATTTGGGCCATTATTGGCCAAGTTATGAGCAACACACTGTACAGTTTGAAAGTACCAAAAATCGCATTTTCGATAAGGGATACCATCATCAAAATTTTCGACAAATGGCCCAAATTTGCCATTTCAAACTGTGAATGCAGTTTCGATAAGCATAAGAAAACATGCTCTACGAGGTATTACATTCCTTATTTGGGCCATTATTGGCCAAGTTATGAGCAAAGCTCTGTAGGGTTTGGGGAAGCCAAAATTCCCATTTTCGATAAAAATTTTCGAAAATTTTCATCAAAATTTTCGAAAAATGGCCCAAATTTGGCATTTCAAACTGTGAATGCAGTTTTGATAAGCATAAGAAAACACGCTCTACGAGGTATTACATTCCTTATTTGGGCCATTATTGGCCAAGTTATGAGCAACACACTGTACAGTTTGAAAGTACCAAAAATCGCATTTTCGATAAGGGATACCATCATCAAAATTTTCGAAAAATGGCCCAAATTTGACATTTCAAACTGTGAATGCAGTTTTGATAAGCATAAGAAAACACGCTCTACGAGGTATTACATTCCTTATTTGGCCCATTATTGGCCAAGTTATGAGCAAAACTACGTAAGGTTTGGGGAAGCCAAAATTCCCATTTTCGATAAGGGGTACCATCATCAAAATTTTCGAAAAATGGCCCAAATTTGGCATTTCAAACTGTGAATGCAGTTTTGATAAGCATAAGGAAATACGCTCTACGAGGTATTACATTCCTTATTTGGGCCATTATTGGCCAATTTATGCGCAAAACTGTGTAGGGTTTGGGGAAGCCAAAATTCGCATTTTCGATAAGGGGTACCATCATCAAAATTTTCGAAAAATGGCACAAATTTGGCATTTCAAACTGTGAATGCAGATTTGATAAGCATAAGGAAATACGCTCTACGAGGTATTACATTCGTTATTTTTGGGGAAGCCAAAATTCGCATTTTCAATAAGGGGTACCATCATCAAAATTTTCAAAAAATGACCCAAATTTGGCATTTCAAACTGTGAATGCAGTTTTGATAAGCATAAGAAAACACGCTCTACGAGGTATTACATTCCTTATTTGGGCGATTATTGGCCAAGTTATGAGCAAAACTCTGTAGGGTTTGGGGAAGCCAAAATTCGCATTTTCGATAAGGGGTACCATCATAAAAATTTTCGTAAAATGTTATTTGACATTTAATTTAAGTGATTATCGATCTTAATTAATTTTACACGGTTTGAGTAGCTTTAATTTTCAATAATAATGTTGTTTTTTTTAAGGTTTCAGGAGACAGCTATGTACAAAATTTCTTTCAAATTTTGGCCTTAAACAAAGATATCTTTAAGATATTTGTAGTACATCATACGTCATGACCTCTGAAAGTATTTCTTAAGAATGTCTTCTCTGTATTTTTAAGGCAATTTATAGATAAAACATAAACTTACAAAATGGACTAACCATATTTTCAGTCTATCTCAAATATGTATCTTTTTAGCCAAAGTATTTGTCAACCGAAAGTTTAATTGGCAGTGTGTTGCAAGGATGCCGTGCCCCAGGGGCCGAAAACCCGAGCCGGGTACCATTGGGCCCAAATTGACCCTTGTGCCAGAGTGCCACGGAGCATGGCTATGAGTGCCTCCGCTGCGACAGTCGTTGTCACAGATATTTGCAACATTTTGCATGTTGCCTTTGAGCGGATGCCGCTCACGTAGCGACCGCGTCACGATCCACTCTCACTCTCTCTCCCGCCAAATCTCTCTGTCTTTGTTTTAGCGGTCTACTCTCTCTCTCTGTCTCTATCTCTGGTTCCATGATATCGCCTTACCTTCGGCATTTTCCACGGGCAGCGCTCAGTTCGTGGGCGCATGCGCGCATGTGCAGTTCGAATTTTTTCCATCCACTCAACGATCGTTCGTCGGCGGCTTTTTTTGGATCAAGATCCAGTCGGAGATAATAATAATAAAAAATATATACATATCTGCATATCATATATATGTACAGCATCCCTGGCTTTTCGGTGATAAAAGTGAAATTTAGTGCGAAAGAAGTTGCCAAAAAGAAAAATCACAATCACATTTTTTGTTTTCGTTTTTGTTCGAGTGACGAGTGATCAGTTAAATCAAATCCCAAGCGAAATTCAAAGGAATTTCAGGTAGCCAGCGGGTTTACCTGGATCTCGCCGGTAAACAAGATCAATTAGTCGGCGGCGACGAGGAGAGTTCGACCTTCAAGGAGAAGGACCACAGTGATATATCACTTTTTGCTATTGTTATTGTTTTTATTCAGAAATGGTAAGTGTATGCCGAGAGAGTGGTAGAAAGAGAGAATGTAGAAGTAAACCGAGGCGAATTACCAAGAACTCTTCACACGGAACCACTAAGAATCGGGTTTACGATCGCAGGTCTCGTAGGTCAGGTTTTTAGCGAGGGAACCAGAGCGCTTCTCGCTCCCCGTTGAGCGGTGACTTTTAGAATTTTTTATGTTCATTTCTTTTATTTTTTATGGATGGAACGATGTACGATATTTGGGCTATACAATATGATCTTACAGCTCGTTATCACTTTCGATGGGGCGAAAGAAGACAATGGGGAAAGGGAAATCAGCACAGCACCTAGAAATTTCTGGGAATATCTATAAAATCCATTAGGTTTATTCGCTTATTTATGGGATGTAGCTTTGTGATTAAATACGAATATAAAGAGGTTCTATTGTTTGAATATTGGGTGGGGTTATGGTAAACTTGTATCTTGGTATCTTGGAATATCACACTTAATCGTCAAAAATGAAAGCAAATGAAAATCTGCAAAATATTAGACTTTTTAAAGTTTAATGAGTATTTAGTATATTTGGTTAAATTTTAGTTAAAAATTTTACACAGTTTTTTACACTGTTTAATTATGTTAAAAACTCAAGATGCAGTAAAGGAAGAAAAGGCTTTCAGCTATATAGATTATTTTCATTTTACTAAAAAATAATACAAAATTTCTACGCATAAAATGTATTATATATTTATTGAAGTAACATATTTAAGCCATGTATGCTGTTCTTAATTACTTTTTTGAGTTCTGCTAATGAGTTCTGCAATTATAAATATTTTCTTACTTCATTTTCATTTCGAGGTAGATGGTGAATAATAATTGTGGAATAATATTCAAATTAATACTAAAAACTTTTAAAGACTTATAGACTTATTATAAAATATTGTCAAAGAGGTAATGAAAATTTTTAAAAAATTGTATTTTATTATAAAATATTGTCAAAGAGGTAATGAAAATATTTAAAAAATAAATTAAGGATTATATTCACATTCGACAAATTGAAGATATTAGTCATTATATATTTATTTCAATTTATATATAATAGCTAATACTGAATAATATTCACATTACAAAAATATTACCAAAATAATTTTTAAATATTAGACAAACACTTTGGCATATTGCATAATACTTACTGGTGAAAGTTCGAAATATTAACAATTAGTAGAACAATCCCATATTTATTCCATGGCATTTGTCATAGTATATTTTATTTTTGGCAAAATATTTAATAAATATTTACTAAAATTGTTAACATAAAAGTAAGAATCTTTAAAAAATTTCTAAGAATAATTACATGATATTTTAGATCATTAGATATTATTCTACAATAATTATTTATTACATAATACAAAGTGGACAGCAAGGAAAATCCTTAAAAAATTACATAGAATAATTGTTAGGCAATAAAAATTACTACAATAATGGTTATTATATTTGATTACTATAACTTTCATCAGAAAGGGAAAAATCTTTAACAAATTTCATATAATAATTACATGGCAATATTCACATTCTTAGAAATTACTAAAAATATCACAAAACAAAATAATCTGTAAATAGAGAAAAATCATTAACAAAATCCTTATATTAATTACAGGACAATATTAGACATTACTTTACTGAATTTTAAACCTATAATAAAGACAACAATCTTCGACAAACTCCATAGAATAATTCACATTATAAGCCATTAGTCAATGACCATTATGATTTCCCTGAGTTAAGTCTGCAAATTGAACATTGATCGCAACAAAATGGCCAATTAATCAATCTGTTGGCTGTGATCTTTTTGGCCAGATCATTGAGTTGAGTTGCCAAATGGTTCGTGATGCGGGTGCTCCAATAAATTGGCAATTCATTGCCCATTGCCCTTTCCCATGGCCTCCCCCAGATCAGATTGAATCGGATCCAAGTGCTACGCCGAGGGGCAAGCATGATCATTACGCACCTTATCGTCCCATAAATTTGATGGATCTATTATGGGCCAATGGAACTCGGGCATGCCGATCACGGATTAGCCAGACGCGCTAAAGGGGGAAGAGTTCGATTGCGCAAGAAGAAACACAAAAAAAAAGAGCCAGAAAATATTATGGCCAAAGTGTATGTATTACACATGGCCAATTGGGTGGCTCGGTTCAGTTCAGTTCAGTTCAGTTCAGTTCAGTTCAGTACAGGTAACACGCGTAACAGGTGCGCCGAGTGCATTTCAATTGTAATTGTGGTGTTCGCATTGTAATTGAAATTGAAAATCGAAAGAGAGTGTTTCGCTTTTGTTTTCGTTATTTCCATTTAGGAGGTAGGAAACCACGCGAGATGCATGACGAATATGGACATTGTATATAACTATTATAGATATATAGGGTACTTGTGTATGCCACGTAATTGTAACATACCCGAATTTTGTGCAGAAATTGTATTGTCTTTAGGCATCCAAAATATATATATATGTATACGAGTATATTATATGGCTAGCACATCATAACGCATTGTACATACCAAAGAGTCCATGGCAATTCCCATTGTGTAATTGTTGAATTGCATTTTATGAGGCGGCACACAAACTCTTTATTCCTTGTGGATTACTATGTCTCTGGTTGATGGTTTATATTGTTATATTTTATGTCTATCATGGATCATAAAAACCAATAATCAGCCAGGCATACAGTGGCCAGTGACCAGTGAACCAATTTGGTCAACTGACAGGGTTAAGGTGTCAATGACTGACTAATGCCCATTATATAATCGCCTTCGATGATGGCACTTTAATTCACCGAAGCCAACTGTCAACGCTTTAAGTTGCATAGAAAGAAGAAATAGTTAGCGGGGCATGAAAAACGCCGTGGCGCTAATTCATATAATTGCTGAATTCACGGCAAGTGCATTTCAGTCCTAAAAAAAAAAAAAACACAGGAGATCCCATATAAAAAGTACGCAATCGTAAAACGCTTCAATTTGCACTCAACAAACCTCTAATTTTCCGGTCTGCCTTGTTTGGAGGGAAGTGTATTACATTTTAATTAATTATATAGCAAATTTGTTGATTAAGGGGTATTGATTGTAGTTGAAGGAGGGCAGGCCACACTAAATAGGTTTTTATGAATATTTAATTGATATTTTAAAGAGCCAGAAATATTTTTAAACAAGAACTATCTAAGATTGACGAAGCTTAATCTGGAAGATACGAAAAATATACTAACATGTATTATTACTCTCCCTTCCTTAAGCTAGGTTCTTTCTTACATTCCTTTCTTATATAAAAAACAAGATTTATATAAGCAGAAGTAGTTTAAAAGTTTTTCAATACCATTAAAAAATAAAATCCCTTAAAATCTATGATAACTTTTTCTTAATATTACAAAACTTCAATAATAAAATTCACAATTTTTAGCTTTCTTTTTCCGCCCAATCAGCTTAGCATTTTGCCAACTCACTTACTTCCCCTTTGATAGCCGGGAAAGTACATTTCTAATTCAATTCACAAAACGGAAGACAATAGAAATGGAAACATTTTATTATGCAAATTGCAATAAATTTGAAAAAAATTTCCATTTCCATTTTCCAAAGACAGATTTCCGATCTCAGGCCGCCCGCTAAATTGTATAATAGATGGACAAAAACGAGAGCAGTTATGCGGATTATGAGAAATATATATATATATATATACGAGATATATGATTAGCAGATTACGCATACGCCGTGTGTTACATGCACAGTAGGCCAATTAAGGCAATGGCTAGGCAATTAACGAGCCGAACCAAAAACAATATAATATCTGTCTCGACCATCGCTTTTGCAGCCACACTTAATTATAATTAAAATATTATCTCTTTCTGGGGCAGGGAAAAAATCTAAAAAAAAAAAGAAGCTAAAAAAAAAAAACTTGACTATAGGTTTGAATAATCAGTTGCAATTTCACTTCAATTTTAACGGCCCACGAAGAGTGTCAGATTATTTATGTGACACGGTCTCAGCCTCCGACTTTCATAATTGGGAAGCTGTCTCGGTTATAATTTTTTTCTTTCTCAGTTTTCTTGGGCCAGAAGATGGATTTTTCTTTCCCACAGCGTCTAGATTTCCCCCCGGGTTTGAGTGCCATTTGCAGAACTTGCATAACGAAAAGCGAGAAAACCAGTGAGAAAATGCACAGTTAAAAAATAATAAATAAATAAAGGGACGCGGCTAAAAGTCAAACACGACCTCTTTTTGGTTTTTTTTGTTTTTCCTCCAACTGACCAACGTAACTTAATTGGCGTCACTTAGGCCAGCGAACGATCTTAATTACAGCATGGACTAAGAAAAACACTCACACACAGGTGTGGGGGGGGTTGGGTCAGGTGCTCGACTTTTTATGACCTCCCCATGGCCCACCCTTCCCCCCCTCTCTCTCACTCTCTATCTCTCTAATAAAAAAGAAAAGAAAATAAAGAGCAAAGAAAACTCGCCCAACACGCAGTTGAAAAACAAAGGAAAATGCCTAGAAACAAAAGTGAACTTCAAGTCTAAGATAACAATGAGAGCAAAAGCAACAACAACCACTTTTACTTTTGTTTTCATTCGAGCTAGTTTTTTTTTATAAGTTTATTCCGCCGACTTCTTTCTTATTTCGGATTTTCAACAGCCAAGTTCAGCGTCGGCGTTGCACAGTGGTTGGAGTTCTGTGGGAAAGTGGGCTTTGTAAATTTATCAAAAATATTGTTTTAAGCCAAACTAAGATTAGAAGTGTATCTAAAATCTTTGTAAAAGTTATTTGGTTAAAATGCATGCTATAAGTAAGGTTTTTCTAGGAGCCAAATATGGCCTTATATAACTTTCTGGAATCTGTAACAGTTGATCATTGAAAATTTGTAAGATTACCACTTCAAGACATCTTACACCTGCCCCACTGTGGCTCAATTGCCCGCTAACCCACAAGGCAGGTCGCTGGAATACCGGCCATCTCCCCAGCTCCCCCAACCTCCACTACCTCCCCT